TCTTTTTTACAGTAGACCCACACAAGAGCACATTGTTGAATTCAGAATGCCAGAGCACAACCTCAAAGTGTTCAGAAAAACAGGTGACATACAAAGGCTTGTAGAACAAATGATGTCAGACTTCTCAGCACACCACTGATTGCCAGGAAACAAGGAAACTACACCTTTACAATGCTCAGGAGAAATCTAAAATTTTATACCAAGCCAAACTATCCACCAAAATCGAGGTTACGATAAACAGCATTTCAGAAAGGCTGCATCTCAGAATCTTATTTCCAAGTACACTTTCTCAGGCAGATGGTGGGTGCTGTGCTTCACCAGGGTGAGGAAGTAAATCAAGAAAGAGGAAGAAATGAGTTCTAGATGTCAGGCCATCAATGCAGGACAGAAGCAGCGGGGATTTCCAGGATCAGAGAGAGGGGAAGTTCTAGCCTGAGAGTGGTGAAGCTGGCCAAGAAACCACGAAGTTCAGATTCCAATAGGAAGATGAATGGTTCCCAGACAGTGGTTCCAAGAAAAGAGAAATGTAACTGACAGATTGATAACCCGGTATGCTGGGCTGGATGAAGTAATCTTTGTAGCTGGTGTCTGGTGTGAATGGGAGGCAAGTGTTTCAACACCTAATAGGCCCATGGAAACAAAAGGGAAGCAATTCAATGCTGAAGAAGTGTTTTTAAAAGGAGTGCTAAAGTCAGGCTGGTAACACACACACACACACACACACACACACACACACACACACGAGAGAGAGAGAGAGAGAGAGAGAGAGAGAGAGAGAGAGAGAGAGAGCTGAGCCAAGTGGGCAAGATAGTTCAGCAGGTAGCAACATTTCCATGCAAACCTGACCACCCGAATTTGATATCCAGGAGTCCACAGAGGAAGAAGTAAGCTGACTCCCAAAAGTTGTCCTTTGACCTGTACACTTAGAGGCAGTGGCAAGCATGCCAGCACTCACACACATACCCCTAACTACTTTCTTATTACAGGCAATAATAAAGTTAAATTAAATTAAATATAGTACTCAGGCTTGTAGGCCAACACTCGGAGTTACCTAACTAGCTCTCTGTTCTTAAGCAAGTAAACGGTCAATGTCTGTGCTGTTTTGACTATATGGTTAAAGTCACCTCTCTCTGTCTCTCTCTCTCTCTTCCCTTAGGATTGCCATTAGTTCAAAGGCAGTCTGGGCTATGGAGTGAGACCCCATCTCAAAGCAAAACAAAAATAACTAAGTAAATGATAGATAATTCTAGTATTTGGGAGGTTGAGACAGAAGGATTGACCCAAGTTCCAGGCCAGCTTGGGTTCAATAAGACCCTGTTTCAAAAACAAAACAAACAAAAATCTCACCTAGATAAATAAGTAACATTTTAAAACACGCAGACCATGCCAGCACATGGGAGTGGAGACAGGAGGATCAGGTGTTCGAGGCCATCTTAATTACATAGTGCGTATAAAGAACAGCCTACACTAGATGAGACTCTGTCTCAAAGAAATAAAAACAGAACATCAGGGCTGGTGAGATGACTCGGTGGGTAAAGGCACCTACTGTCAAACCCAGTAACCGGAGTTTAACTCCCAGAACCCACATGGCAGAAGAAAAGTACTGCCTCCCAAGTTATCTTCTGACCTCCACATACCCCCACCCCCATGTGTGTATATATATATAATGTATATGCATATTTTTAATGAATTGGAACAACAACAACAACAACCAAATTGCAGATAATTTGGATGCCTCTAGGGTAGTATTTGTTACCTTGGTGAACATTCTGGGTCCAGACATTAACTCAGAAACCACAGTTGTTAGTCCTAACAGCAGCGGCGTCTCCTCGGAACAGACACACATTAACCAGGCTCCTGAGACTGATATTTCAAATCAGATGCCAATTCATTAATTTATAAGGGGAAGTGGGGCTTTGGAACAGCCTGGATTTCTGTTTGTTGCTGAGTGCCTTCTCTCCCAGTGGGTGGATTCACAAGGAGAGCAGAACAGCTTTCTGAGACCTGCCGTGTGATCCAGAGCCCAAGTAAGGTCAGGGGACGAACTGTGTGGCTCCAAACTATGCTGCCTCCATCTCCCCAGTCTCTGAGCCAGCATTTCCGTAGCCAGAGACATCTTGATAGCTAATGCTGGTGATTACCGTGGCAACCCTCCTTGACCTCTGGCTTTCTCTGCTGCTCAAACCCTTTGGACTAGCACCAATCCTTTCCTAGCTATATTAATAGTTGTGGTCTGGGGATATGGCTCAGGAGTAGAGCCTTTGTCCAGCTTACATCAGGCCCTAGGTTCAAGTCCCACCACTGAAGAAAAATCATTTTATTTTTGAGACCAGGTTTCAATATGTTGCCCAACGCTCAAGTGATCCTCCTGTGGTTAGCTCCCCAAGTAGCTAGGATTACAGGTGTGTGCCATTGTTCCCTCATTACATTAATATCGTCAATCAGGCAGTAGTCTAGATTGTCTCCAGCAAGGGAATTGGTACATCCTCGTGTTACAGTTAGAAAGTTTGTGTCGAGATTATAGCATAAGCCACCATACCTGGTCCTATATATAGTCAGTTCTAGGCAACAGAATGAGATTCTGTCTCAATAAATAAATACAAATAAATGAACAAAATGAATAACCAAGTAGGCCCATTTTCCAAGCATACATTCCTAGCCTCCTATGAATTCTATGCAATAAATTCTTCCTGCTTCCAGTGGTGTCTGTCATCATAACCAAAACCCCTGGCCTCTACTGCAACCACCTCAGACACCAAAATGAAGTCTAGTCTCTCTGCACCAGGGCTGCAATCAAACTTGGAGCCTTTTCTGGGCCTCTTGGTACAACACAGAACAGGGCATACAGGCCGTCTCAATAAAATCTGGTTGGCTAGGTCATTCAGAAGTCAGTGCACAAATATTGCCAGACATCATTCTAGATGCCAGGATTACAAAGCAACTAAGAGCCAATTCCTGCCTTCAAGGATGTCCCAAACACACCTTAGACACAACAAACAGAAAACAGAGAGTCATACACACCCCTGCCTTCTCACCCAACTCATGGGTCATCTCACACCTCCTGTTCCCTGCCCCAAAACAAAGGGAAGTGTTTGTACTTTTGGCTTCAGTCTGTGGGGATGGCAACAGCGTGGAGTTTGGACTAGTCAGACAAAAAGGGTGGGAGGCAGAGAAAGATGGCAGACAACCAGACACCAGACCTTGATGCCAGGTGGAAGATTCTAGATGTGTTGGCTGCTATCCTAAGTTCCTTGGACCTAAATCTCAGGCTGCATAGCTTCTTCCTTTCTCTGAAGGTAGCCTGTGTAGGATAACACAAAGGAATTATATCGCCATCATCTTGGTCAGGACTTCCAGGCAAAGCTTCAAGTACCTTGAGCCCACAGCTAGAAGTGCAAACCAGAGGTCAGAATGAAGTTACTACACCCCTAGACTCCAATCTCTAGAACAGCTCTTAGGAGAGTTTTGTGTAGAGGATGATTATTGAGAGTCAGGGCAGTGAAGGAGGGGTCAAGTGTCAGTTATGACCTGGAGGGTGGCGTCTCACTACCCACCCAAGGATAAGCTGGTGCTGGTGCTGGTGCTGTTCTCACACATCCCTTCCCAAGATGCTCTTTTTAGTAAACAAATTCTCCCAGGCAACCCTCTGAAGTTATGACCATCCCTTCATCTCACACATAAAACCGAGGCTCAGAGACGTTCTGTGCTGCAGGCTGAATCTTCCTTTGCTGTTCAGGTTTGAGTCACCGAGCTAAGAAATGGGCTAACGGTTGCTGAAGCAGTGGGTTAATTCAGAAGCCCAGGTTCAGTGCAAGGGCCGCCAGGTGGCGCGGTGGAGGTGCAGTGTGTCCTCCCCCCAACCCTACCCTACCTCTGTCAGGGGTGGGACGCACCTGAACCCTTTGGGGCGCACCCTGGGAAGTAGGCTAGCAGGGTGGGGCGGGGAGCAGCTCTAGGCCCTGGGTCTGAGTAGGCGGAGAGAGCGGCTTTAGTTAGGTCGCCGGGACCGCAGAAGCCTCTCTGAAGAGTCACGCCTCCACCAGGAGACTGCGGGGCTGCATCAGCTCTTCTGCTCTGCGCTCCCCAGCGTGCAATTTATTAGGGGGGCTTCAAGGGATAGAATAGAAACGACCAGTGCAGCCAGGAGGTGGGGCCAGCCCCACCTGTCGCCAGCGGAGAGGGGGGGGAGGGGGTGGAGCTTGTCTCCTAGGGACCACCCCCCCTCCTGGTCCCCGAGCCCCGGGCACGCGACGAGATATAAAGCAGTCGGGAAACAATGCGCCTGCAGATCGCGCTCCCGCGTCGATCCCGGGAGCGTCCTGGCTGCCGTGTGCGAGCCAGGAGGGGGAAGCGCGCGCAGGGGGCGCGCTCGTGAGTGCGGGGCCGCGCGCTCGGTGGCGCGCATGTGTGTGTG